AAGATTGCAGCAATGAAGCCTCAAGAAGACACCCAGAGAACTACTCTAGGCTGGAAGAGAGATACCCACACCCACAGAGCCTACCAGGTCTCAGACCACCATCTCCCAAGCCTGGAATTCACACAGGAGGAGATAATGAGAGAAAAAGAGGATAATAACTACAATCCAACTGGGTGTATTTCCAGCCAAATACATGTGAGCTATGTCATGGCAACATGCAAAAAGATTTCAGCAAAGAGCTTCCTCTGATGGGATACTAATCTGACATCTCCACGGTTCGATTAAGGGATAACTAGTTAAGGCAAAATTACACAACAGGTTTTTTTCCCAGTAGCTGTCTCAGTAGTGCTCTTTCTGTCAAGCCCCTCCCCCTCTTTCTACTGGGCAATGGGCTTCTTTAACTACATCTCAATCCTGTTCCCCAACTTTTTAGTCACTTTTGCTTATTAAAATAGTCTCTGTTGGACTGTTAAAAATTTGGTTCTAGGTATTTTAAAATGCAAATCTCAGTTGTAATTTAGAATACTCCTCATCCCTCTGGGAGATCTATATCAATATCCTCTATATCTATCTATCTACATTTATATCTATAGATAGAGAGATTGATTGATTGATTATAAGGTCTTGACTCCCACAATTATGGAGGCTGTGAAGTCCCACAGTGTGCTGTCTGCAAGCTGGACAGCCAGGGAAGCCAATGGTATAGTTCCAAGGCCTGAGATCTGGAGAACTGGTGTATAGATGCCAGTCTTAGTTAGAAGTCCTGAGAACCAGGAATACCAAGGGCAGAAGAAGATCAATGCCACAGCTCAAGCATTCAGGCAGAGAGCAAATTCAATCTTTCTCTGCTTCTCTGTTCTATTCAGGATTAGATGATGCTCACGCACATTGCGGAGGGCCATCTGCTTTACTCAGTTCACCAATTCAAATACTAACCTCTTCCAGAACACCCTCACAGACACACCCATAAATAATGTTTAACCAGATATATTTGCATCCTGTGGTTTAGTTGACACATAAAATTAACCATCATACCCTCCTTCATTGTGTTTACTCAGATGATTTGAGAGTTTGGAGGATGGGGACACAAAAACAATTCTTTATCAGACTACCTAGTGTAAGACTGCTGTCCCTGTGTGACTAATCACCACTGAAGCTCAAGTTTAATTTCTATAGAGCCTGCTGATAAGGACTCACATGCAAGCAGCTCCCTCAGGTTTTGCTAGCACCTTGGAAAACTGGGCCATATCTTGCATGTGACTCCTAGTTGATGACCCTCACAAGGCATTCCTGTGATTCATAGGTCTCTTTGCCCTACTCTAATAGTTTCTGGTAAGCCTATATCTCAATAAACCCCCTCCGCAGTTCCAACTCCAGTGCCTATAGGCATGGTATGATTTATTTCTCATGCCTCTCCAGAATTGAGAACTTAGGTAGGGGTTCAATCCTAGCTCTTTTCCACCTGGCCATACCACCACATCATCTCCTTAAAATGTTCTTTCCAGGATTCTGTAGCTTATAGGTAGCTCAAAATCCCAGTGGTAAAGCAGATATCCAGCAGAGGAATAAGAAGGAAATCTTACCATCTTGTAGATATCCCTAAACTTGATGTACAATTCTTTTGGGATCCCACTCCCTTGGCTTTGGGGAAGGGAACCAATCAAGTGCCACCATCTACCATAATTACAGGAGATACGGAGAGGGGATAGGTTCTTTCCACAAACACTACACTTCCTAAAATGTGAACCTAGTCTCTTCTTTCCCAGTACTACACTCCCCTTCTATCATTTTGGGGTAAGAGCCACCAAACTAGTTCATTCTCTCTCTGTCCTTGGGGGCACATGAGTCCCAAACTAAGACTCTTTTGTCTTTCTAACTCAGCCTTGGGAAATTTTAAATTTTCTTCTCAACAGGTTGCTACCTGTCTCCAACTCCTCAGACAACTCCAAGACCAAGAAAAGATCTCAATCAACAACTCAAAACATGTTAGTAAAGATAACATCATTTCCAGGACATTTTTCACCTATTTTTAAAACATCACTTCATTATAACCAACCACCTATATAGCATAATATCTGATCTGGAAAAATATACAAATGTATATTTTTATCCAAGAAAATTTGGTAGTGTCAAACAAAAGACTTACTCAAGATGGGTCAAAAAGACAACAGCAAAGCATTTAGCCACTGTGAGAAATAAAAATCCTCTTGCTAAACTTTATATTCAATAGTTACATCATAATGGCTTCCTACTTTCAAGGGATTCTTTCTAGGTAATTACTAATTTTCATAAAAGTTTTTTTTTATTGCTCTAAATTCAGTCCCCTGAATGAAAAGCAACTAGTTAACCTCAGTAGTGGATGCATTCAGTCAACAAATATACACTAATCACCCACTTTGTACAAGGAACTTTATAAGTCATTGGGTATGCAAAGCAGAATAAAGCAGATATGTTTTGGGCCCTCATGGATTTTCTTTTCTTTTTTTTATTATATTATGTTAATCACCATACATTACATCATTAGTTTTTGATGTAGTGTTCCATGATTCATTGTTCGCATATAACATCTAGTGCTCCATTCAATACGTGCCCTCTTTAATACCCATCACCAGGCTAACCCATCCCCCCACCCTAAAGACAAGTGGATTTAGCTAAGGAAAGAATTATGATCTGCTTACTCTTCAAATCTTGTTAGAAACCATCTAATAATGGTAAAAAAGAGTCAACTTTTATTGAAGATTTATTAGGTTCTATGGTAAGTACTTGATATGTGTAATTTACTTCTAACAAAACCCCTGTTTCACAGAGGAAGCACAAAGACCTTGATAAGTAATTGATGCAAAGCCACATTTCAAATAAGTAGCAGGTATGATTTAAACCCAGACATTCTGATACCACAGCTCATGCTTTCAATCAGCATCCTTTCAGCCAATGTCATTAATAAATCTGTATGAAGAGTTGTGAACTGTGAAACAGAATCCAGGAATCACTATTCCTTTAAAAGACAATTTTGGGTGTGATTATGTAATTTGAGCTTTTGAAACTTGTTAAAAAGAGAACCACAGGCCCCAAAGGGCATCACTTAGGTTAAGGCCCCAAGTCAGTAGTAAACCAAGAGTTAATACCTAATCTAACTGCAGTTTTGACCCCCTAGGAATGTAACCTTTAACCAGTCAGTCAGGAATTTTCTGGTCAGCACCAATAAGGTAATCTGTCACACGGGCCCTCTTCATTCCTCCAAAGTAAAATCAAGAAATTCATATACTAAGACCCATTTGTCCCCAAATGAAGGTGACTTCAGGTGAAATAATCCTTTTTTTTTTTTTTTTCTGTTTATGAATTCCTTGTACTGCCCTTAAAAACCTTTCCTTTTCTGTAGCCTATTAGAGCTCCCCTCTACTTGCTAGATGGGATGCTTCCTGATTCATGGATCATTTAACAAGCCAATTAAATCTTCAAATTTACTTGGTTGAATTTTGTTTTTTTCACAAGCTATATATCAAAATACCTCCAAAGCATAAAAACCTCAAACTATGTATGCACTAGGCATATACTCTTTCTTTATTCAATGTCCCAGCTAGTTTAACAGGGTCAGAGATTACACAGGAGTTTGGAACCAAAACCAGAGGCAGTAAACATTTGTCTGGCCTGTCTTGTCTCAGTGCATACAACTCTTTTGGTTCCTTTATCACAACCAACATCTAGTAAGTATTTTTTTATATTAAATGCCACTTTCCTAAAGACATCTGTTTTCTAACTGTGATAAAATTTGTTAACTTACTCCAAGGTGGAGAAAGGAACATTTACTCAATTCACTCAAGGTGAATTTCAGTCTCAAGTTTAGTTGCTTCATATACCCCCTGCTTATTTTCTTTTTTTAAATTTAAATTCAATTAATTAACATATACTGTATTATTTGTTTGAGGGGCATAAGTCTGTGATTCTTCTCTTATATAAGACCCAGTGCTCATTACAACACATACCCTCCCCAATGTCCATCATCCAGTTACCCCATTCCCCCATCCCCCTCCCCTCCAGCCCACCCTCGGTTTCAAGGGATTCCTAAGATTAAGAGTCTCTTATGGTTTGTCTCCCTCTCTGGTTTCATCTTGTTTCATTTATTCCTCTCTTCCTCTATGATCCTCTGCTTGTTTCTTAAATTCCATGTATCAGTGAGATCATAACCCCCTGCTTATTTCTAATATTTTTCTCATTTACATCAAAAGGCAGATGGCTGTGGAACTAACTTCTGCATATTGTATACTTCCGATCATTCTAAGAAGATATTTGTAGGGGTGGTTTGGAAAGTTTGTAAAGGAAAGCAGGGAGTAAAAAAGGCTCCTTTTCTCCAAGACCATGGTATCAAAAACATCACAAATTTACATTAAATAGCCAATATCTGACAACTGGACTTCTCCCTAAAGATTTACTTTACAGATCGTTTTGAAAATACCAACTGTGTACATAAAGATGCCTCTTTTTTCAAAATAGAAATTTGAAACAAGCTAGTATGTTTCAAGAGGGATGTTAATGTGTGGAACTCAGAAAATATTTTCTGTTATACAGGTGAATATAATGAGTAAATGTGGCTTTTTCATCCCGCAAGATGAAGCGTTTCTTTCAAAAGTGAAATCTCGCAACTGTTAATTTTTTGAGGCATGCTGATTTTTTTTTTTTAAAAAAAAAAGGAAATAAAAGAAATTCTTTGGAAGAATTCACTCTGTCTCCTGGCCTCTTTCCGACAAGTCCCCTGCTCCCACCCCACCCCAGCCGTCATTCTAAATTTCCTGGGGATCTGAATTCAGGGGACGCAGTGGCAATGGTGGCGGTGCACTTGAGGGTGGGTGGGGGAAAGAGGGGGTGCGGCCAGCGAGAAGGGGAGAGAAAGCAGAACTGAACAAACTCAAGGCCCGGGGCGGGAGTGGGAGGGGTGGAGGGTGTTGCAGACCTTCCCGGGTAACCAGAGAAGGGTAAACTCCAGCCGCAGGGAGGAGAGGACCAAGCTGAGTGACAGGGCGGTGCGCGCTGGGGCTCAGCGCAGAAACAGGCGGAGGGGGTTGCCTGCGCTTGTGCGTGAGGCGAGGGGTGGAGGCAGGCACTCCCGCCGCACAAACCGCTGGAGTTGGGGGGCGAGCGCGTTGGTGACGCGGGGCCCTCACGTGACCTGGAGCTGCAGAGCGACGCAGCCTTCGGTGCAGTCGTCACTCCCGTCTGGGTACCGGCTCCCCGCGGTCCTGCGCCTGGCGGGCTGGCATCGGGCCCGAGGAAAGCGGAGCAGGTAAGGGCTCCGGGGCCGCGCGCCGAGGCCAGGTAGGCAGCTGTCGGCCTACCCCGGAGGCCGGCGCAGGGGGTCGGCGCAGCGGGTCCCGGCCAGCTTTCTCCACACCCAGCATTCTTGCGCACATCAGTAGTGGCCCCCTGGGGTGGGGGTGCTGGGGCGGCCGTTGGGGGGGGCAGCAGAGCAACTAAGAGTGACTGGAAATCACCCCCAAGTTCCTACAGGAAAATGGTGAACCTCCGGGGCAGGATGGGGGGGGGCTAGGTGTGAGGGCGGGAATGCAGATGGGGGGCGGCCGGGGGGGCCGGGACCCGGAAAGGACCAGGTGGTGGCCGGTCGGCGCCAAGCGCTTCGCAACAGTCTCCGCTCCCTCCACGCCGGCCCTCTGCAGGTCTGCGGGTGTAGGTGTCAAGTGTCGTGGCGGCGCACTCACGGCGAGAATCGGGAGAAGGAGGAGACAGCAAGGATAGGCCCAGGTCGGTGCGGGGGACAGTGGAGGGGGGGGCGGGTGCAGAGCCCAGTTTGAGACCCCCCCCCATCTACCTCATCCACCCCATTCCCCTGCCCCCCAGTCCTCCATTTTGGTGCCTGCGGAGCTCGGGGAAAGAATCCTGGGAAAGGAAAAATGGTGGGCTTCGGGGGAGGGAGGGAAAAAGAGAGAGCTGGAGGGAGGGGCTCGATTCGGAGGCCCCCTAGAGGACGCCTGAAGCTCCTAAGGTGGGAAAAAAAATAAAATTTACAAAACCTTAGATATCAGAGCTCTGAATCCTTCTGGTCAGTGCACCAAGCATTCAGTCTCTCTCCTTGCCTTTGTCTTACTTGTGTTCAAAGAAAAACAACCAGGAAAAAAAAAATCTCATGGCAAATATCCACCAGGAAAACGAAGAAATGGAGCAGCCCATGCAGAATGGAGAGGAAGACCGCCCTTTGGGAGGGGGAGAAGGCCACCAACCTGCAGGAAATAATAGACGGGGACAGGCTCGCCGACTTGCTCCAAATTTCCGATGGGCCATACCCAATAGGCAGGTCAATGATGGGATGGGTGGAGATGGAGATGATATGGAAATGTTCATGGAGGAGATGAGAGAAATCAGGAGAAAACTTAGGGAGCTGCAGTTGAGGAATTGTCTGCGTATCCTGATGGGGGAGCTCTCTAATCACCATGACCATCATGATGAATTTTGCCTTATGCCTTGACTCCTGCCATTTTCCATGAGATTAATACTGTGATTCAACACTGTTTTCTTTTTCCTTGCATTTTCCTGATATACCTTTACTGATTCGTTTGCTGTGAACCTTATGTAATTTTCATGTGTCAGGTGGGTTCTGTGTTACCAGATTCCAATTGAAGATTGCCTTGGCACCCAGTCTAAGTTTCTGTCAACAGTAGAGTCACCCAGTTGCATGAAAAAGTGTAAAGTTAATAAAGCAATTAAAAAGCAACCTATACATTTATTATTGTCTCATTTAAAAGCGTATGTATATATTATATGACCCCCCCAATCAGAAATAAGATGTCTCAGGGTGTTGAGTACCATTTCTCTGTAGTTGGATAATATGTGACTTTTTTCTTCTTCTTATCTGGAGTTTTAGAAGCAAAAACAATTTTTCAAGGAGTCCAAATATAGTACAGGTATATAATACTGGTTCAACAAACTTTAAGAGTGAACTTTAAGAATTTTCCAGTTTTGGGGCGCCTGGGTGGCTCAGATGGTTACGCGTCTGCCTTCGGCTCAGGTCATGATTCCAGGGTCCTGGGATCGAGTCCCACATCGGGCTCCCTGCTCCGTGGGAAGCCTGCTTCTCCCTCTGCCTCTCTCTCTCTATCTCTCATGAATAAATAATTAAAATCTTTAAAAAAAAAAAAAAAGAATTTTCCAGTTTTAAGTGGAAGAATAAACCCTCCCTTTATTACAGATACATTCCTTTTATTTATTTTTATTTTGTTTTTTAAAGATTTTATTTATTTTTACAGAGAGAGAGAACAAGCAGGGGGAGCAGCAGAGGGAGAGGGAGAAGCAGGCTCCCTGCCGAGCAGGGAACCCAATGCTGGACTCCATCCCAGAAACCTGGGATCATGACCTGAGTCGAAGGCAGATGCTTAACCGACTAAGCCACCCAGGTGCCCCGAGATACATACCTTTAAAATTTTTTTTTTTTAAGATTTTATTTATTTGCGAGAGAGAGAATGAGAGAGAGCATGAGAGGGAGGAGGGTCAGAGGGAGAAGCAGACTCCCTGCCGAGCAGGGAGCCTGACGTGGGACTCGATCCCGGGACTCCGGGATCATGACCTGAGCCGAATGCAGTCGCCCAACCAACTGAGCCACCCAGGCGCCCTGATACATACTTTTTAAAAGTCAATTTTCTTGGGGCGCCTGGGTGGCTCAGTCGTTAAACGTCTGCCTTCGGTTCGGGTCCATCCCAGGGTCCTGGGATCGAGTGCCGTATCGGGCTCCCTGCTCAGGGGGAAGCCTGCTTCTCCCTCTCCCACTCCCCCTGCTTGTGTTCTCTCTCTCTCTCTGTCAAATAAATAAATAAAAAATCTTTAAAAAAAAGTCAATTTTCTTTTCTGTGAAATGGGGAATAATCCTTACCTTACAGGGCAGCTGAGTGGAATAGATGAGGTGTGGAACTGTGTTGGGCTGCCTACTATGCAACTCCATCAGGTACTTGGGAAGGACTAAAGGGAGTTTTCACCTATGTTTACATTTTGTCCAAAGGGCAAAAATAGTTGGCTCCCACCTTGTCATTTCTTTGATATTTGCAGTACTTCTCCCCTGATCTAGTACCATGTCAGCTAGGCATACTTAACCTTCTTCTGGGTTCTGATTCTGTTTTCATTGCTGATGTGAGTCCTCAAGGTAGCAAAAACCCACTGATTTCTCTTGAGTCCCTGGTGAGGTAAACCCTGCTCCTTTGACTACTGTCTGGAGACTGTCTTTCTCCCCCCTTTAAAGTTATATTTATCCAAGTGAGTACCACTCCCACAGTTCTTGGTCTTTTGTTGGTTCTAACAAAATAGCCCTTTTTGGTATTATTTTTGTGCTCCTCTTCGGAGAATTCAGACTTCAGTGCGCTGGGGCCTAGCTCAGGAGATATATCTAGATGTCTCACCATGGTGTGTCTAGAATTCCACTACTTCAAACCTCCCAAACACAAACAGGCTGAAAGCTTTGTTTTGCCTGTGTTTTTACCCTTTGGGGGGATTTTCTCAAAAGAGAGTCTGGGCAGGCTTACCCAACCAGTTTAACAGACTTACCTAGAAGATGTCCAAATTACATTAGGGAGACACATTTTAAAGCTGAAACACTCCCATTTTTATCCCTTCCACACCTGAAACATGAAATTGCTTTGTAAGTTCTTAAAAACTATATTATATGTTAAAAAAAAAAGAAAATAGCTGAGGGGAAGAATGAAGGGGGGAAATCGGAGGGGGAGACCAACCATGAGAGACTATGGACTCTGAAAAAGAAACTGAGGGTTCTAGAGGGGAGGGGGGTGGGAGTATGGGTTAGCCTGGTGATGGGTATTAAAGAGGGCACGTTCTGCATGGAGCACTGGGTGTTATACGCAAACAATGAATCATGGAACACTACATCAAAAACTAATGATGTAATGTATGGTGATTAACAACATAATAAAACTATATTAAATATTTGGCATTAAAATTTTTATCTGAGTGCATGCCCTTCTTATGACAATAATTTTGTCTTAATCATCTTGGAGCTCAGTTTCTAGTATAGTGCCTGACATAGCAGATACTTAATTATTCATTTTGATTGGTTAACTATAATGGAGTTAGGAGCCCAGCTTAATATTGTTCCTAACTGACTTGTCCTTAATCAAGTATACTGAGGCAAGTAACTACTTGGAAAGTACTACTTTTACTTTCCAGAGGAAATGGCAAGAAAAGTCTCTAACCCAAAATCTTTAATTTCTTCTTTTTTTAAAAGATTTTATTTATTTATTTTAGAGAGTGAGACCAAGCCAGGAGGAGAGGCAGAAGGGGAGAGAGAGAATCTCAGGCAGACTCCGCACTTAGCATGGAGCCTGATGCAGGGCTTGATCTCATGACCATGAGATCATGACCTGAGCTGAAACCAAGAGTTGGTCACTGAACTGACTGAGCCACCTAGGCACCCCCAAGATCTGTAATTTCTTTTAAAAACCTTTTATATACCAGCATTTATGTAAACACAGACCTCTTACTTGCATCATAATTACCTAGGAAGAATGTTAAAAATGCTGACACTTGGGTGCTCTTCCCACTTTCAACCCCCATTATCACCTCTTGAATCACCTGATCAGGAACTACTGTTTTGACAGTTCCTCAGGTGATTCTGATGCATCTGAGTTATGACAACATAGGCATAGAGAAACACTAGCAGTGATTACAGCATTTTACAGTGTGATCTAAATTACCTTGCTTATTGATAATACAATGAATATACCTTTCCAAAATTAGATTGCATTAAACAATCAATATATATCTATAAACTAGTACTGCTTTTTATCTTTCAAAATATCCTATTAAATTAATGCATTATCATGAATCTCTTATTAACAAGTATATAATAATTGTGTTATTAAATAAGCTAAGCATTATCATTTCTTTTTTTAAAAGATTTTATTTATTTGACAGAGACACAGCGAGAGAGGGAACACAAGCAGAGGGAGAGGGAGAAGCAGGCTTCCCGCCGAGCAGGGAGTCTGATGTGGGGCTCAATGTGGGGCTCGATCCCAGGACTCTGGGACCATGACCTGAGCCAAAGGCAGACGCTTAATGACTGAGCCACCCAGGTGCCCCAGCATTATCATTTCTATGCAAGCGTATGCCCTTTTACACCAATGATTTTGTTTTAATCACCCTGGAGCTCAGTTTTTTGTATAGTGCTTGATATAGTAAATATTTATTTTATTTTATTTATTATTTTTTAAAAGATTTTATTTATTTGAGAGTGAGAGAGAGAGCTCGTGAGCACGGGGTGGAGGGGCAGGGGGAGAGGGAGAAGCAGATTCCCCGCTGAGCAGGGAGCCCCATGCAGGGCTCCATCCCAGGACCCCAGGATCATGACCTGAGATAAAGGCAGATGCTTAACCAACTGAGCCACCCAGGTGCCCCACAGCTTCTTGAACATATGCAATTCAGTTATAATAACTCTTTTAATGTCCTTGTCTAATTTTACCATCTTTTTCATATCTCGGTCAGTTTTGATTGATTTTTCTCCTCATGGTGGGTTAGATTTTCCGGCTTCTTTGCAGGCCTGGGAATTGTTTGGATGTCAGACATTGTTAATTTTAACTTTTGAGTGCTAGATATTTTTGGATCCCTGTAAATATATTGGTTTTTATTCTGGGACAGAGTTAAATTACATGTGAACAGTTTGATATTTTAGGTTCTTGATTTTAATCTTCGTAAGGCTGGACCAGAGTAGTGTTGAGGGTTAATTGTACTCCACTAATGAGGAAAAATCCTTCTGAGTACTCTATCTGATGTCCCATGAATTATGAAGTCTTCAAGTCTGGCTATTAGGAACATATAGTGTTCCTAAACATGTGTGAACTTAAATTGTTCCCTTTAATCTTTTGGGGGTGGTTCTTTTCTTGGTGTGGGGTAGTTTTCTCACAGGCATTTAATGATCAGTACTCAGATAATTACTCAGACGAGATTGGGTATGCTCAGGGTTGTATGGTCCTAGACTACTCAGATAGTTATTCAAAGAGGACGCTGAGCAGATCATCGAAATTCTTTCTCTGTGAGCTCTTTTCTTTTTGATACTCTGCCCTGCAAACTCTAGCAGCCTTGACCTCCCTAGTTCCTAGTTTCTTATCTTGATCTATGGAATACCACTGGGCTACCCCTGGATTCCCACTCCTTGCACTGTGGCCTGAAAACTTTCTCTGGGAAGTAGGCTGGGGCAATCATAAGAATAACCTCATTTGTTCCCAGTCTCTCAGGGATCACAGATCTCGCTGCCCAATGTCCACTCTTTTGAGAAGAGTTGGTTCATAAATTTTATCCAGTTTTATAGTTGCTTCAGATTGGAAGGTAATTCCAGTCTCTGTTACTCTGTCCTATTCAGGAGTAGAAATACTGGTATGTCTTGAATAAATGTTTAATGTGGCCATTATGACTCTGGAGATCCTCATCCCCCAACCCAGTTCTACCCTTGACTAAAGAATTTCATTCTTTTCATTCATGTCACTTCTCTAGAGGCAAAGACTTGCATTTCTCAAGGAGTGTAGCAGGGGCAGGATGACACAACAATTTAAAACATGAACAAAAATTTTGCATCATATTGTAAAAGAAAATTTGCATCAGATACTTGTTAAAAAACAGCAACGAAGACTTAAGATTATTGCAATAGGGATCAAGACTATTGCCTAGAGGGGAGAGATTGAACTCAATTCCAATTTTAGTATATGTGCTGCCGAAGCGAGCACTTGA